CTAGCTCACCATAAACAGCCATTTTTGATGTGAATTTTGAGAGACCAAGAATGAACCGACAAAATGAAAGATGGACATCCTCAATTGCAGACTTAGTTGTGCTTTCATCACCCCAAACATCACTACCATATACAATAATGGGTCTTATCAGTTTGTCAAATGAAGATAGTTGGAGGGGTATGTTTAGTGAGTTGTCATAACCGAGTTTGTATTTCAAAGCAAAGAGAGCTTTCATCCCTTTATTTTTTAAATTATTGATACCCTCTTTATGTTTGCCATTAGCACTTATACCGTAGTTATACCCAGGTAATTAATTTGCTTACCCGGTAACTATGGCAATTTCTTTTTCAGCGATAAATCCTTATATGATAAATCCTTTCAACCACATTTGTGTGAGATAATCACCAATTTTTGAGCAGCCGCAGGATATACAACAAAATGTTGATAGTTTTGGCAAAATGACAATGAGTAGAAATTGATTTACCTAATGAGTACAACTAAAGATAATGTGGTCAGACAGACTGGAGAATATTTATATAACATTTGTTCTATTCTGGCCGTTATTCATTTTATATTACACTTTATTGCAGTACACTGATCAATGGAAATGTTATTTCTAAAGATGCAATAAAACATTATCATTCTTATTTTAATTGCATTAATTGCAGCTATCCGTGATTGAATATTCACCGATTTCGATAGTTTGAGTCTGTCGGTTGGCACCCTTTCAAATTTATTCACATCAGACCCACGCTGACCATCTGTGGTCCTACGATTTCCGAGTACCAAGTAAGCTGATTTAAAGACACTTAGGTCGATCAGCATACAGAAGTGTTGCCCTCCTTACCATAGAATGTGAGCAGTGTTCCACTACTTATACTTATGTAATAATTAAAGGTATAGAGTCAGCGGGGCGTTCCAATTCCAGGATAACTTCGATTACTAGTAATCAGTAATCAGTACGCAGTCGTTTTGAAAGATAAACATAGAAAGTGTGACACTTGCACCTGCTTCGATGGTCCAAAGAGTGAAAGGAAAGTCAATTCATTTGAACTAAAATGGGGACTAAAAATCGTTACCGTATATGAACTTTTCAAAAGATTGCCATAACAGTTCAATTCCAGAATATCTCACATTTCTCCACCTGTTGTTGTTTTCTTCCCTTTCAGGAGCTCCTTTTTTTTTTGGTTGACCTGTGACGTCATTCTGTCATGGCGTATTCACTAAGGAAACCGGTAAACAGTTGTCGATGGGGATTTAAAATTTCCAGACTAAGTGATAACTTTATAAAATTATTGAAATTAACAAATAAAAATATCAAAGAATAATAAATACGTTCAAAATGACTTTTTCTGAGGGGCTTGAAAATTACGGCCATGTCACGCGAGAATAAATAACTTACGAGACTATGTTGTGTCTGCCAGAGGTGGCGCACTTACACGTGCGGAAACTAAAACTGATGCAACTCCGAAGGAGTGTCTTGGAGCGATATGGCAGAAAATATAGCGGAGAGGATATTAGTAAATGTGGACAAGAATGACACAGTTGACACGGAAGAATTTGCCAAGCTAGTGGGAGTAGATCACCAGCAAGTCGTTGGAGCAGTGAAGAGTTTGCAGTCACTGGGAAATGTAAGAAATATGGATTGTGTTAACATTTTGGTTTATTATTTAATTTTATACACAGTAGCACAGCCCCCGGGTTATGCTATTTGCACTATAGTCCCGCTCTACAAAAAGGAACTGAGTTATCATATAATGCTCAATATCCTATCGAACCAATGGTTATTTATTTATTTATTTATTTATTTATTTATTTATTTATTTATTTATTTATTTATTTATTTATTTATTTATTTATTTATTTATTTATTTATTTATTTACACTGAATAATACATTTAGTGCAGCAGTATGATCTACACTACAAAAACAAATCAGTATTTAATAATAATATAACCATAATACTCCACTGAAATTAAAATAAAAAAAAATACACATACATGTATATACATGTATATTAAAAAAATAACATCCGCTATACCAGAGGTACATTACTTGGGGTTTGTAACTACGGTGACATGATAACAAGATCCCGTCACAATCTCGCTCTCGCATAACGTT